TGGAGACTGTGTGCTACCACTGCACGCTCTGCTGTTTGGTCTTTCACTTTTCATTCCATGTTGCAGTTCTGCTCAGTGAATTTATCTGGGTTTGCTTGAAAAAAAAGAAACCATTCAACTCACCCTTTTTCATCTGATCAGTGCTAAACATTCTGGCTTCTGATCTTGCTGACAGCTTTTTCACTGTGGACACTGTTGCAATTATGTCTTAATCTTCCAGGTTGCAGGAGTGTTGTAGAGTAACGGTTCTCAACCGTTGGTACCTTACGTATCCCCTGCCGATTGATGCAGCAAAAGCAAAATCGGAAGTCCCACCATGGCATTTCCAGTTTCGCCGCTGTGAGCCAAGTCCCACTTTTTTCTCATGGACCATGGCCCAGGGCAAAGCAACCTGCGCAGGGTCTCCCTCCCTATCCCCCGGCACACTGATGCTGGGGAGTGAAAGCCCCGGTGCACCGGACACGGCGGGAGGGGCAGCAGTCGGAACTTCTGGCCCGAGCAGGCAAAGACCAAAATGCAGCACCTGTGTAGCCCCGGCCCGCGTCTTGCATACCCCCAGGGGTACACATACCACGGGCTGAGAAACACTGGTGTAGAGTTATAGGCATGATTGTCCAAGGAATGAGAGAAGCAGGGTTGCTTAGTAATTTCTTTTACTGGATCCGCTATAAACATGGTAGAGATGTTTGTGAAATTTTTGGATCAGAAATTACTGATCTGAGGTGTGGCAAACAGTTCCTACTTAGGCCTTATTACAATTCTATTCTGTGATTCTGTGTCTGCCTATGTTACGTTGCCGCACAGGGTTATGCATCACAAATCTGTAGGCAGGACTGAAGCACACAAACTGGCGCTCTGCTGCTCACAGAAGGTGCCCCTGCAATGCAATAACTTCCCCAATTCATCCACAGCAAACACTAATCCCCTTATTAATGGCATTTGAAAACAGCTAGGCAGAGGGTGAGCATTAGGCACAATGAACCATACACTAGGCTGTATGAGAGGTGATTGCAAGGGAACCCAGATAAAGAAAAAAGAGTAGGGTAATTACGATAATTTTAAAGAAACTGGGACTGCATTAGTAAGGTGGGCATGAAAAGGAGTTAGAGGAATATTACAACCAGTTAGATATAGCTTGGATAGGCAGACAGGACTGGGGAAACGAGCATACCTAGCCAGATAGGGATGAGGAGCCAGGAGGGTTTTTCAGCAAATGGGCAGACACTGGGCTAGAGGGTGAGCAAGAGGCTCACTTTGGAATGAGCAGAGTGGCTAGAATCCAGACTCCGCTAAGCTGCACAAAACCACCATTGGAACGATGCGCTGACAACATGCTGAGCCACGGCCGCCTCGAGCTGGACATAGAGCTATGGGATACAGATTGCATTGCCTACACCAACTCCATGACACCACAATGAGGAAGACTTAGTTTCTTCTTGTCTACTGGTTTAATGCGGGGCTTTTCAACTTCTGAGTGGCTGGGAGCCACCACTCTGCAACAGCTGCATGCCCCCAAGGCTCCACGCATTGTGGGCAGCATGCTGAGCTATGCCTCACTCCTCTCCACCCATCCACCACTGCACTTTGCCAGCATCTCCATGCTCTGTACACAGCACCGCCGAGGTCCCCCCAGTAATCATAAAAATTCATAGAAAATGAGGGTTGGAAGGAACCTCAGGAGGTCATCTAGTCCAACCCCCTGCTCCAAGCTGTAGGCACTCCACTCTCCTCCCCACTGTAGCACTGCAGTGAGCAGTGTCCCCCAGGCACCCAGCGTCAAAGAAGGGAGGGGGAGCCCAGAGACTTTGGTGACAGCAGCAGCTGGAGTGGTGAGGAATTGGCATCCAGACGAGGGAGCCTCAAGTTAAACCTCTGGAAGCCACCAGTTGGACATTACCATCACATTGTCTGTGAAGATCTGGAACCTGGGAACAGACCTGAAGGGTTTCTTATAAAGATCTTCTGGAAGATTTCACATCCATCTTCTCCAGTATTTCAGTCTTCTATCTAAATATCCCACTACTTGAAAAGGGAAGGTCTTCAACTTGGCCCTTGGCTTTCAGTCTGTGAGCAAAAGATGTTAATCCAGTTTATCAGAATAGAGTGATGGCAAATTCAACTGTGTTGGCTGCTGAACCTAGAGCATCAACAGGAGGTGTAAGTGCACATTTAACCACTATCTGACCTTTTACTGAAGAATTAGCTAGTGTCCTTTTTTTTTTTTTTTGTTAGGGAATACTTTAAAAATATGGATAATCTTTTCTCATATATATGATATAGATTGCCACTGCCAGAAAAAGGATAGTTTACACATGAAAGAAAGAAAACCTCCTGTATCCTTTAAGTACTGCAATTTTCATAAACTTTTTTCAATATAATTTAACAAGGTGGTTGAGAAAACCAAACTGGTTTTCAGGTTTTGATAATCTGTCTAAAATTGGAACAGGGTTATTTTGTTTTTGTTTTGGACGGAGTAATCAAGATGCTGTACACAGCTTGGGGAGTTTCTTCAGAGGTGATTGATAGAAGCTGCAAACTTGTTACTGTTTTATTGGTTGGATCAATAATCTAAGTGAATCCGTGAATCGGAATCCAACATTGATAATCTACCTGAGCCACAGTATCAGAAAGTGGGAAAATGATCCCTGAAAGTAGGCAAAAAGGATGGATGTAGAAATCTCAGACCTGAAGAACAAGCCTTTTTCTAAGCCTCTAGGTAGGAGCAGGGTTCCCATGTTGATGAGAAGGTGGAACACGTCTACATTGCCTACACAAAAACAAATAGGGCTTCTCAGTGTGTGCACTGCCTATCAACGTGAGCAACTGAACTCAAACTTTGTATCAGATCTGAAAGTGTATGAAGATTTATTTGCATCATATTCAGAGGTACATTCCTTAATAGAATTCTGATTTTTCCTTGGATCATAGGTCTGACAAGTTCGTAGCAAAACTTCAGTTCCTCAAGTACATAAAATGGAAAAGAACAAGAGACCTTTACTGCAAGTGCCTGAGACATTTTTAGAAATGGGAGGGAAGTGCCTAGGAATGTCTAAACCAAACTTTTTGACCTCCTTTCCCCTGATCATCTGAGACAGATACAAAGAATCCTCCCTTTTATTTCCCTGAGGCAAACAGTCTCTCTCAGACCTGATAACCAATTCAGTTATAGATCCCTATAATGAATTTATGCTACAAGAGTAAGGTTTTATGTGAAGCAAACAGACAACACAGAAACAACTGTCCATTTCAGAGTGATCTTCTGACTAACGTATGCTTGAAATCAGGTGATGAACCTTAGGAAGGAATTTGCCTCAAGTCAGAAACTTAGTCTTTGATTTAGGCTCCATGGGCACCTATACGTATGCTCCAACGTGTTCTGATTAGATTGTGTAGAAGCAGGCTTGATTCAGAACACTCCAGCATGCTGCAGCCTCTCCTGTACTCAGTGTCCCTGCGTTTCATAATGGCAACAGGAATGCTTCAATTAAAGCTTGTTGAATGAGCTTTAGTTCAAGCACCCTCACCGCCATTTTGAAATGCGGGATGCTGAATACACAAGACATTATGGGTGTTTTAATTAAAGCAGTTCTCGAGAACCACTCTAATTAAAATGCACCTCTACCCCAGTGCACGGGGTATTCAAAATGCCCCATATGTTTTCAGATCCAGATTCAATGACCTGTATGTGACTTAGCTTTGCTAACCAGAACCATCTGCCTTTCACATTCTTCTTTAGAAAGAAAGCAGACAGATCCAAAAGGTCAATAATTTTGCTTGTCTCAGGCCAGCACAGTTATAAAATCTCAGGGCTTCAGTGCGAGGTGTGATGAGCTGGGAAAAAAACTGAACTGAAGACTTGGAAACTGATTTTGGAGCAAAGATCAGAATCCCAAGGTGGACAACTGGCTCTCTCACTGTAGGTGCAAATCCCTAAACTTAGGTGTGCTGGATCCACAGAATTTCACAGCCAGAGCTTCTTGGAAAAGGCTTTCAGCTTGTGTTGATGCTACTTATGGACCCTCATGAGTAAATGTGCTACAGATATAGCACCTTGAAGGATGTGACCTTTGCCAGTGTATATCTGCATATGGGTGCCTGATGCTGGAAAGACCACTGGATGAGTGAAGCTTATTTTTCAGCTCCATTATGGAACTCATGGCTGGAACTGAAGACTTAATTACTACCTACCTAAGAATAATTTTTTTGCCCCCTCTAACATGGCTTATCCTCAAAACTAACCTCCCGCAAAACTAGACAAACCTAAGATAGTATGTTTCAGATTTACAAAGGTATTTAGGTATCTTATCTAAATGGGAGTTAGGTGCTTAATACCTTTGTGAATCTGGATCTAAATTCTCAAGAGCAGGAACTGGGTCTGTGTCTGGTTGAATCCAGAGAGTTTCACATCACTCTGCTGCTGTGACTAGAAGGAATTGTGGTGTCAGAGTGTCACACTGCCTTTACAGTCCTACTCTCTGAACATTAGGAGGGGAGCAGGGACTGAAAGGGCATCTGAAGACTGATGAGCATTGCCATAAGAAGGTTCCATTGTCTAATCTGCACCACCTGGTGTATTCCATGAACAGGACTAAGCAAAAGACACAGAAATAGGTAATTTCACTGAAAAAGAGAGTGAAAGTATTTGGAGCATATTAAGCCCCAAAAATTCATTTGGGGAACTTGTCCATTCTTGTATGGTGTAAGCTTAAGTTACTAAAAAATGTTAGAAGATTATAACAATGGTTCTGCTTCACCCACCTTTCAGTTCTCTCTCCAGCAACAGGAAAAACAAACCCTAGCACAGCCAAGAGAGGTATCACGTATTCACTCTTTGAGAGTGCTTATACACAGAAGATCTAGTCCACAGAACTTTTGAACTCTGTAATCTGTGAAGCACTGTCTTATGTGAAAAATGTATATAATAGAAGCCCCACTGTTGGCAACAGAATGAGCGCTAAGAAAGTTTGTACATGAGAAGCATGAACAAGACCATTAGCAAGGGTATTTTAAACCACTGACTTTATTAAAATACTTAATACATAGTTTGCAGAGGAATGTACTGACATTTTTGATAACTTCACTGAAAGCAAAATGCAATAACTTCTATAGGCATTATTTAACAAATAACAAAACTGGAGTTGGAGGGGGAGGATGAACTCATACTCTATAGCTTCAGAGTAGACAGTTTGTTTTTTCTTAGTTTATGACAGCCTTCCTTGTCCCCTTGACCTTGATCTTAGACTACTGAATATTTATTAGCAGAGAAAGGGGTCTCATACATTTTACAATCCTAAAACCCAGCTGGGTCTAAATGGAGTTTCTTTTAAAAAAAACCAAAACTCTGGCTCTTCTTTCTACCATTTCCCTTCTTGGTAAATAGTTTTTCTGAAAAAAACTGAAGAAAAGCCAAGATAGCCTCTTATAACAGCAATGGGCAAGCAGTACAGGAAGAGTTCCAAAGTCAAATCACAACATGAAGCTCCCAATCATCAAATGAGCTTTCACTGTCTTTACAATTCCTTCATTAAATCCATTTGAAGCTTGAGTGGGGAAAAAGAACAATATCAAAACAAGCAAAGGGCCGTAAGTGAGACTGACGTAGGTGAAATGCATGTAGAAGATAGACTACAGTGCCACAGCGCTATAGGCAAAGGAAAAAAAAAAACATTGAAGTTCAGTTGAAATTCAAGCAGCAGTGGGTGGTGGTGGTAAGTAGTACAAAGCCCATAAGCTGGATAAGTATTTAAAACAATGAGACGCTCTTTTTAAATATAACATATTTAAAAGGTCGCAACCATTAAACAGCACTGTTTAAACAATCTTTAAACAAAAGATTGTTGACAAAAAGTTTGTTATAATTTATCTCACTGAAAAGAGTGTTGTCTGGAAAAAATATACTATGTGAAAAAAATCATTTCCTGTGTGTTTCGATGCAGAATGTAGAGGTTGCATAGATTTTCATATCAAATTAATAAGGCTGATTTTAGGAGACAATTTTGCAACCTTGCATAGGCAATACTGTATCTTTAATATAGATAATGAGCAGAAAGTGTGTATGATTGAAACATGAGCATTAATGAACACACTTTTTCCTCTCAAGTTTTAATGTAGCAAAAAAGTAACTTATTTAACTCCTTTCATTCCCTACAACAGATATGGAATATCCCAGGAAAGAGATGCTAAGATTACCATGAAAATGATACAGTGTATACAACATGTTGAAACAATTGGAGAAGCCTCCACAAAGCATAGCCCTAAAGTTTCCATATAGAAAAAAATATTGCAGGAGTTAACTTTGTTTACAAACGTTAAAACTCATTTAAATATAAACATGTTTTTGGTTAATATTATACCAAATGAAATCATGTTAGCTAATCAGATTGCTGAATGCATGGATGACCCATACTTACATATCAAGTAAGCTATATATAAACAGCCAAATACCAGCTTATAAATGGTACAGTAAACTTCTTAAAACTGCATTTTTATAATTAAAGTTGTTTCTAATTAGTTTAAATTCAGGACAATTACTTCATAAATCAAACAGAATGCAGCTTTTCAATACTAACAAGTCTGAACAACTGTCAACATACTTTAAGAGTCATCAGGATATTTGCTTCAGCATTTGGTGGTATAAGATATAACGTTGGTGGATTAAATATTGTCACAGGACAGCTTTCTCCAGCTTTGAAAATAAATGCCCTCATTCCAGGATGTTCATTTCCACCAATAAATGCTTTGCCTTTGCCCTGGCATTTTTCTAACAAAAGACCCTTACCCCTGTGATACGGCTCAATTCTACTGGCATTACCTCTCTGTCAGAGGAGTTGTCTGGCATTTCTTCTGCCATTTTGTGCTGGATCTAAGACAACATCATTAGTACTGGTTATTACTCTTGCATATCACAGTGAGGTGTACTTTTTAATATTCTTTACAATGGAGAACTAAGCCCTGAACTAGAAATTGTCTCACAACAGACACTTTAATACTAAGGATTTGGTGAGTGTTCCTTATCTACAGATAAACTTAAAAGGCAAAAGGCAAAGCTAAAATCAGCCCACCATATGAGGTGTGTTAGTTCAAACAGGAAAAAAGACACCCAGCACTTTCTTTCAGAAGGATGCTGTTTACAACAATAAAGACTCACTTTAATATTTCAACAACAAAAAAGCCAAACTAATTTTAAAATCTGTGAACCCTAATGAGGTTTTTTATAAACCAATACAGTGCACAAACAACATTGCTGTTTGCTCTTAAACATGAGTCTCAGAAATGTAGGAAAACTATGATAAATTATACTAAAGATGACAAATCCTAACCAATTAAATAAAAAAGAAAAACACCACTATCTTTGAAATACAGCTTCGAAAACTTACAGTGTTCCAATGTTCTCAGTTCCAGATTGCTGACATTATAAATTAAAGGTGAAATATATCCGTATAGAAACAAGACAGCTTTCCATTGATTCTGTACTGTTCTTGTCTAAACCTTTGGATATTTCAATCTTCAAATCCCACAAAGTAAGGTTGAATTTACCAGTTAGAAAAGAAAGTTCATGATGTGGCATTTGAAAAAGATGCATCTTAGTATTTACAGGATGCTTTAAATTACGTTTTTTTGCAAGTGTTTTTAATTCTCACACTTTCATTTCACCTTCTGCAGAACTGTAAATATGCCATATGCTGAGCATGTGTGCTCCATGCAGGGATGTGCAGTTTTGGGTGTCT